TTGCATTTGCCTCCCATCTCTCCTTACCCCCCCCCCCCCCTGCACCTCTCCTCCTTCCACCCCTCTTCCCTTCCTACCTCTTCTCTCCTCTCCTCCACCCTTGCTCTCCTCCCTTCCTCCTTCCACCCTCCACCCCCTTTTTTCCTCCCTTTCCCCCCTCCTCTCCTCCCTTCCCCCTTCTCTCATCCACCTCTCTTACACCCTTCCTTCTTCCTCCCTCCTCCCTTCCCCCCTCCTCTCCTCTGTCTCTCCTCCCTCCTCCCTCCTCCCTTCCCCCTCCTCTCCTCCTCCCTTCCCCCTCCTCTCCTCCTCCCTTCCCCCCTCCGCTCTTCCCTCCTCTCCTCCCTTCCCCCTCCCCTCCTCCCTCTTTTCCTCCTCCCTTCCCCCTCCTCTCCTCCCTCTCCCCCCCCCCCTCCTCCCACGTTCACCTGCAGTGCGTGGTCAAGCAGAGGAGGAAATGCCCGAGCAATAGACACTTGCCAGACAGCTGCTCGGTCTCGGCACATCCCCTCCCCCACCCCCCTACCTCCCCCAACCCACTCCACACTACCCCCTCCCTTTGACACCCACCACCTCCCCCCCCCCTTTCACAGCCCTCCCATCTCCTATCCCCCCCTCCCCTAAGCCCCCCCCCCCTACCTTTCCGCCCCTCATCCACTACCCCCCCTTACTTTCATCCCCCCTCCACTTCCTCTCCTACCCCCCCTTCCCCCTGGCCCCCCCTTCCCCCTGGCCCCCCTTCCTCGTACCCCCCTCTCCCCCCCACCCCTTAAGGAAAACCTGGCCAATGAGAGCGAGCGATTCTGGAAAGAGAAAATGACGTCAACTTGGAAAAGTAACGGAACTGGATTTTAATATTTTCATTATGAAGAGAGTGAGAGAGAGAGAGAGAGAGAGAGAGAGAGAGAGAGAGAGACAGACAGACAGACAGAGAGAGAGAGAGAGAGGTTGTTATGATCTGTATCATTATTTAACATTATTATTATTATCATTATTATTATCTAATTATTATTATCATTATCATTATTATTATTATTATTATTATTATTATTATTATTATTATTATTATTATTATTATTATTAGCAGCAGCAGCAGCAGCAGCTAATTTCTAAATCATCATTAGCTTATCACCATCTTATAATCATTATCATGGTGATCATTAACATAAGTGATATTTTCTCCATCAATATTATCATTACACATACACACACACACACAAGCACCCACCCACCGACACACACACACACACACACACACACACACACACACACACACACACACACACACACACACACACACACACACAAGCACCCACCCACCGACACACACATACACACACACACACACACACACACACACACACACACACACACACACACACACACACACACACACACACACACACACACACACACACACACCACACACACACACACACACACACACACACACACACACACACACACACACACACACACACAACACACACACACACACACACACACACACAAGCACCCACCCACCGACACACACACACACACACACACACACACACACACACACACACACACACACACACACACACACACACACACACACGCAAGCACCCACCCACCGACACACACACACACACACGCACGCACATCCGTCCGCCAACACACAGACAAGCACCCCCCACACACACAAGCACCCACCCACCGATACACACACACACACACACACGCACGCACGCACACACGCACGCACATCCGTCCACCCCGCTTCCATACCCGGAGCGTCGGCCGGATCTCTCACACGGGTATTTCCGCAACTCCGCCGGCCTCTCGGGTGACTGCCGTGTTTTGCGGTAAGTCGAGGCTTCCAATTTTTATTTTTTTTCTCTCTTTCTCGGTTTCTGTGTCTGTCTTTCTGTTTTTCTTTTTTTTTCTGTTTGTTTGTCTTTCTGTTGTTGTTTTTTTTTTGTCTCTCTTTCTGTCTGTTTCTGATTTTTTTCTCGCTTTCTCTCTCTCTCTCTCTCTCTCTCTCTCTCTCTCTCTCTCTCTCTCTCTCTCTCTCTCTCTCTCTCTCTCTCTCTCTCTCTCTCTCTCTCTCTCTCTCACTCTCTCATCCCCTTGTTCTTCTTTTCCTTCTTCTTTTCCTCCTCTTTGTCTCATTTAGGTTTTGAACAAACAGGGAAGAAGGACAAAGAAAGGGAAGAAAAGGCAAGAGAGGAAACAACAAAGGAAGAAGGAAGAGAAAAGAAAAAAAAAAGAGAGAAGTAGTGAAAGAAGAAAAGGGGGCGGGGAGAAGGAGAGGCTGGGGTTATTTCATTATCATTACAATGATAATGATAATAATAACAATAATGATAATAATAATAATAATAATAATGATAATAATGATAGTAATAATGATAATAATAAGGATAATGATAATGATAATGATAACGATGATGATGATAATAACGATGATAATAATAATGATAATAATAATAATAATAACAATAATAATAATAATAATAATAATAATAATAATAATAATAATAATAATAATAATAATAAAAATAAAAATAATAATAATAATAATAATAATAATAATAATAATAATAATAATAATAATAACAATAAGAAGAAGAAGAAGAAGAAGAAGAAAAAGAAAAAAAAACAATAATAATAATAATGATAATAATAATAATAATAATGATAATAATAATGATAATAATAATAATAATAATAATAAATAATAATAATAGTAATAATAAAATAATAATAATAATAGTAATATAATAATAATAATAATAACAAAAATAATAATGACAATAATAATAATAATAATAATAATGATAATAATAATAATAATAATAATAATAATAATAATAATAATAATAATAATAATAATAATAATAAAAATAATAATAATAATAACAATAATAATAATAATAATAATAATAATAATAATAATAATAATAATAACAATAATAATAAGAAGAAGAAGAAGAAGAAAAAGAAAAAAAACAATAATAATAATAATGATAATAATAATAATAATAATAACAATAATAATAATGACAACAATAATAATAATGATAATAATAATAATAATAATAATAATAATAATAATAATAATAGTAAAAATGATACTAATGATTATGATAATGATAATAATAATAATAACACGAATAATGATATTAATAACAGTAATAATGATAATGATAAAAATAGCAATAACAACAATAACATATAGTAATAATAGTAATGGCAATAGTTATGATTTTTATAATGAGTTTCATAGTCATTAAAATTTTCCTCATTGCTATTATTATTGTAATTATTATTGTTGTTGTCATTAAGATTATAATTACCATTATAATCACTAATTATATCATTATCATCCATTAATAATGCCATTATTATTATTTTAATAATGACAGCAACAATGATAATAACAATGGCAATGAAAATAAGATAAGTAAAAGTAAAACATGAAAATAATCTTTAAAATATTAATTAATTAAAAGACAATAAAAAATAAGGTAAAACATAAAGAGAAGATAACAACAAACCCGATAACCCCCCCCCTCCCGACCCCCACCCCTCCACGTGAAGTCATCTGCGGGAACACGTGGCCTGCATTTCCGGTTCCCTCCCTCCCTCCCTCCCTCCCTCCCTCCCTTCTTCCCCACTCCCTTTTCTTCCTCCCTCCCTCCCTCCATCCCTTCTTCCCCACTCCCTTTTCTTCCTCCCTCCCTCCCTCCCTTCTTCCCCACTCCCTTTTCTTCTCCCTCCCTCCCTCCATCCCTCTCTCCCTCCTCCCTCCCTCTCCTTCCTTCCCTCTCCTTCCTCATTCCCTCTTTCCCCTTCCCTCCTCTCTCTCTTTCTTTCCTCTTCCTATTATTCTCTTTTCCTCTTCTTTATTTTTTTCTTCTCTCCTTCCCTTTCCTTCTTCCTTTCCTTTCTTTCCTTCCTCCCCCCTTCACTCTTCTTTTCTTTCCTCCTTCCCCTCTTTTCTCTTTATTTTTCACTCTCGTTCCCTCTCCTCTCACTTCTTTTCCTTCTCTCTCTCTCTCTCTCTCCTCTCTCTCATCCTCTCTCTCTCTCTCTCTCTCTCTCTCTCTCTCTCTCTCTCTCTCTCATTCACTCTCTCTTTCTCCCCCCCATCCCCTCTCTCTCATTCACTCTCTCTTTCTCCCCCCCCCATCCCCTCTCGCTCTCCCTCCTACCCCCCACCCCCCATTGCAGCATCCAACCGCCCGCTCGTGACGTCACTACATCTGCGATCTCCCGCCGTTCCTCGCCGTAGGAGCGCATCGACCGGAACTGACGGTGAACGGCGCCACGCGGTCCTTTTTCCGAGGGAGAGGAGGAAAGGAGGAAGAGGGTGGAGGAGAGAGGGAGAAAAGGGGGAGGGGGTGAAGGGGGTGGAGGAGAGAAGGGGGAAGAGAGAGGAGGAAAGGAGGAAGGGGGTGGAGAAAGAGAGGGAGAGAAGAAGGAGAGAAGGAATGGTGAGGTGGGTGAAAAGTGGTTTGGAGATCATGGGGAATAGCGAGAGGGAAAGGAGGCAGGTGGTTGAGACTAGGATGTTCTAAGCAAGTAAGAGATATGAGGAACGTAGTACGGGGCCTTTGAGTGAGGAAGCTAGGTAAAAAGGAGGAGAGGAAGGTGGGTTGTAGTGGTTAGGTAAGAACTCGATACCACTTAGTCGATCAGTAAATGAAGGACGGGGGTGGAGAAACGAGAGGGAGACGACAGGATTAGAGATGAAAGGTTTCCTTGTTGCGTCCTCATCTGTATCTACTTCTCTTTTTCCCGTTGTTTCTTTTTCTTCTTCCTCTGCGTTCTCCCAGTCTTCGCGCTGTTCGATTTTGTTTCTTCTTTCTGCCTCTCGCCCGCATTCTTCACGCTCCCTTTCCGTTTTTTTCTTCCGCTCTTGCTCCCTAGTCCATCCTTCCCTTTTGTGTCTTGGCTTCCTTTCGCTCTCCGCGCGCTAGCAGTTCTGCCTGTTCCAAGTCTTCGCCCCTCTT